TCTGTGTTGGCTTCATCCTCACTCTCTTAGTAAGACAACAATAGCAGCTCGAAGTGGCACATCCCGTAGAAAGCAACATCGGAGGAAGAAGAGCTGTGTCTCTTTCCTAAATTTATTTATTGAAGTATAATATTCATACAGAAGTCTTTACATATAATAAGTGTATGGCTTGATGAATTTTAACAAACTTGACTACTTATGTAACCAACACCCAGATTAATTGTGTTTGTCTTTCATGCTCTCCTAGAGAAGCTAAGAAAGCACATCCACCTTCCTTTCTTCATAGTCTGTCCAGCTGGGATGGAACAAAGGGGAGAATGTGTAGAAGCACCGAGGTGTAAGTTTGATTATAAATATTAGGCTACTAAGGGTCTCCTCAATATGTAGCACCCTTGGTTGACTTCAAGGATTGTTTTAGAAAGACATCTGAATACCCTACAGACAGTGAGGGGACTCCTTTCCAGGAAGGAGAACGTCAATACGATCTCTTCTCTAGTGAAGTTCTCTCTTCATTGCTGGTCATCACAGGGGAATTGAGGCGTTGAATATAGTAATGGAAACATTAGTAGGAGTAGAAGTAAAGGGCCAGATGAATGAGAGGGACAGGTGGGAGAGGCTTTCCCATTCTCCATGCTCATAAGTGGGTAGACTTGCACCTCGGCTACTCCATCCTTCTATCTTCTGGTAAAGACAGGAGGAATTGTTCATCATGAGTTAGCTCATACAGAAAAGATAGGGTGATTGAATTGTTGAGGGATGTGTGTGCCAGTACATTCAGACTCCACGAAAAAAAGGAAGACTTACTTGAATTCTGCCAATCAGTGCCCCTTTTAATGAGTGAGTACGTGTAAGGAGAGAGCTGGATTGTCTACTACCGGAATTTTCTTATTTCCTCATAGATTTCCAAAAATGAGAATGCTGGCTAGAAATGACTCCTTAGTGACTGAATTTATTCTTGCTAGATGAAGAGATCATCCAGAGCTCCAGCAACCTCTCTTTTGTTTGTCTCGAATGATCTACTTGGTCATTATGGTGGGCATTCTTGGCTTGATCTTTTTTATTGGGATAAATTTTCACCTTCACACCCCCATGTGCTATTTCGTCTTCAATCTATCCTTCAGTGATCTCTGTTACCATAGGAATCAGGCTCCTTAGATGCTTTGCTATGTGTCTTGGGACAATTCTGAGCTTGTAAACCAGCAGCTCCAACACTCCCTCTGGAGACAGAGAACGAGAGTTCATTGCTAATGTCACCTTGTACCTCTGTTCCCACAGATCACACTGCTGAAGTGAATGGCTATGAAAAATGACTCTTCAGTGATTGAGTTTATCCTTATGGGATTAACAGAGAAAGCTGAGCTCCAGCCACCCCTGTTTTTTCTGTTGTTGGTGAACTATGTAGTCACTGTGATGGGGAATTTAAGCTTAATTAATCTGATTTGTCTGAATTCTCACCTTCACACTCCCATGTACATTTTCCTCTTCAATCTGTCCTTCATTGATCTCTGCTATTCATTTATCTTTACTCCTAAAATGCTGATGAGCTTTATTTCAGAGAGAAACATTATCTCCTTTGCAGGATGCATGACTCAGCTATTTTTCTTCTGCTTCTTTGTCAACTCTGAGTGCTATGTGTTGACAGCCATGGCCTATGATCGCTATGTGGCCATCTGCAAGCCCCTGCTGTACACTGTCACCATGTCCCGTAGGGTCTGTTCCCTGTTGATGTCTGGTTCATATATGATGGGGTTTGCTGGTGCCATGGTGCTCACAG